AAAAAAAAAAAAAGGAGAGAGAAGAGGATAAAGACAGCAGTGAATCAATAGAGAGGCAGGATGTTAATGAGAAATAGATATGGTTTATTACCTGTTGATGATGACATGTATAGTATTCTCAACTGAACCGGTATGGGAAGTATTTCATGATGGGTGAAGTCTTTTTAATAAGCAAAAATGAGAAATAGTGATTGATTGTTTAAAAAAAATAATAATAACAATTATTGGGAAAAGCATGGAAAAGATATTGAATGATAAAGCGGGGAGATTGATATCTCTGTATTGACTGACATGCATGGCATCCCATTTTGAAAAAGCAATGGAAGTCAATGTAAAGTTATATGTAATCTAGTGTAATAGAAAGAAGATTATGATGATAATAAAATAAAAAACTGTTAAAAAAATCCCATCAGGGTGGAGAAATGGAGGTGAAAGGATTGAATTGTGACCACACCCTATAAGGTACTTTTTCTCTCTCTTTTTGGTGAATATTCTCTGGCAATAAAATAATAAGTAAGTAAATACCGCGTGCGTGTGCATGCATGCCCAAGATCCCCCTCTTAATTCTGTTACAATGGCTCAGCAATGAATTTTAGGGGGACCATATTTAAATTATAGCACAGATTTACGTGACTCCTTCCTAAGCTTGTATGTGTACCTAAAGGAGGATCCTCTTAATTTTCTCCCTCCACCTCTAAGGACCTTAATAGATGCTTGTACCATATGGGGTTGGTTCTTTCTTTCTTTCTTTCTTTCTTTTCTCTCTGTGTCTCTCTGTCACTAGATCCCATTTACGCATTTTTTTAGTCTCTGCATGTTCTTCTTAAGATCCATATTCATGATGTTAACTGCAGTTGAAAAGCTCATAAGTCAAAAAATGGTATCTAGTAATATCCAGGTGGTGGCATCCAATGGGAACTTGATGTATGGGCTCCAATTTCATATCTAGATGCTTCTGGGCACCCTTCCTTGGCTACTCCACATTTTAGGTCTCAGTGGGTCTGAATCTGAATGTATCATCTGCACTTCTAAACCCTTTGTATGTTTAATCCTCCACAGCTAAGGAGTAGTCCATCCTTGGAGCAGCTTTCCAAGTTTTGGAACTTTGTCATCTCATGCTTCCCTCTGGCCCACTTCTTGTGTCTAATTAGTAATCAAGTTAAATAAAGACTTCTTATGCTTCTTTCTTTCTTTCTTTCTTTCTTTCTTTCTTTCTTTCTTTCTTTCTTTCTTTCTTTCTTTTTGGGGAGGTTTTTGCTATAGGACGTATGCATTCACCAGAAAGAGACAGAGAGACAGAAAGTAAGAAATCACCCCCCAGCGGGGGATGGTCATATCCCAACCCCTTCTCCTCCATTCTCCTCTTCGGATCTTGGCACCACACACACATGTACCCAGCATGAGTTTAAGCCACCAGGTTCGGGACTTGAACTGCAGTGGACTACATGGGAGTCCAGCAATGTAGCCATTATGCTATCTGCTGGTCTCTCTTATGCTTCTTTTGATTGTGCCCCTTATCTTCATTTTCACTACCCATGCTTATCTGGCTCCAAATGATTTTTCTACCACCACTGCCAGAGTGATAGCTCTAAATGCATAGAGCTGACCATGACATACCCCATCACAAAATCTTCCAAAGGTTGTTTATAGCATTAAGTATAAAGTACAAACCTGTTAGCTTAGCACACAGGGCCTTTTGTGATTTGGCTTCTACTTTCAAGTCTTCTGACTCCAGTCAGAACAGCCAGAACGAGCAGTTCCTATCGTGTTGCCTCACACCTCCATTATTTCCACAGGCTATTTTCATCTGCCTCAAATGACCTTCTGTTTCTTCGTAATAGAAAATGCCTACTAGCACTTCATAGTCCTGCGTAAGTATCACCACCTCTAGAAGACATTTTTGACATGGCTCATCCAGGCTCTAAAACTAGTAATCATAGTAACTATCATTTACTGAGGACTTAGTACATGCCAGGCTGTACTGTAGATGTTTGACTACGTCTGAATTAAGTTCTTACCCTGTGAGGTGCATGTTTTTGTGATCAGAGCTAAGTCACATGCCTGTTTAGTGGAGGAGCTGAGAATCTACCTGCCCGTTAACTGCAACACTACTCTATACTTGTAGAGTACTTCTAGGTGCTTAGTGAATATTTCTGCAATGAATGACTGAACAAATACTCCTGCAGCTGGGGTAGCATCTCCAGGGAAAGGATTGACATAGCCCTTCCAGCTTTACAACTCCACTTCATGCCTCTGGCCCCAGAATGAATGATAAATTAATGAAGTCCCTGAATGATGGAAGTTATGGAGAAGCCCAGTTATTGTTTATTGAATAAACCACTTGGAAAATATGAGTCTACCTTGAAGTATAAGTTCTGAAATCTTGGTCAAATGGAAAGACATTTAATAGTACTCAAAGTATTTCATAGGGTACCAATTGGTTGACCAGCATCCCAACTAATTCACATGTCTGTCACATGTCAACCTAGAACAGCTGCTCCCAAGTTTCTAACATACCCTCTACTTCTCACTTATAATACTGGGCTAACTGCCAATTCACAATCCTCCCTATTTATCAGAGGCCAAACAAGCTCATGGGTCAAGCAGCAAATTACAGTGGTACAGGGAACTTGATTGGTACTGCTGAGTCAGAGTTATGAATAGGTGGTTGAGAATCCTGGGTTCTAGTCCCACCTTTGGTGCCATCCAATACTGTGAATATGTAAAAAGGTGTGAACGTTTTCGAGATTCAGCTAGACTTAATGTTCTAGGCTTTACACTGGCTGAGCTGGTTCAACAACCAGACAGGGACCCAAAATCACAATCTCTGAGCTGATCTTTGGGTCCCTGTCTGACCTTCCTTGAAACCTGATTATAGCTTGGCTGTCCAAGCTCCAGGGTAGCCTACCTGTTGTTGGACTCATTGCCTACTCTTGCCAATCCTTTTCTCAGTATTTCCCTCCCAGATACCAGGCTTATTAACTCCTCTCATCTGTCAGATCCATGAAGACATTCTTCAAACCTCAGTACACATTTGGTGATTCCTAATAATTTTTGCCATGTTGCCATATTAGCTGCAGCTGGAGAGCTGCTCTATCTCCTGGTACTCTCCATCTGCCCTGAGCTCTCACCAAGGCTATGCCAGTCTCGGCCACAGACCTGTATGTGCTGTGGTTACTCCAGCTCCCCTCAAGCCCTCTGCTCTAATACTCACTCCTCTCTCTGAGCCTGTGCACACGCCCCTCTCTCCAGGTGTTACTATTATCCTCCTATCCTTCGTGAAGTCATCACCTATCGTCTCTCTGCATGGGTCAACCCTAACGGCTCTGCCTGCCTATACCACTCATTTGAATCTTATTAAGTATTTTCAGTGTCTATAATTTTCCCATGTGATCTTATGATTCTTGGGGACAATTGTGACTTAAACCTATGGCAGTCCTCAGTGTTCAGTACAATGTTGTGTATAGAGTAGTAAATGTTTTTAATATACTCATCTCATTATCTACTTGGGTTATTTATTGTATATAAATGTGTTTTGTAAATTAATTAATTTGATTTAATCAAAAACCATTTGCTTATGATTAAGTTACGATTCTGCACTAGATGTATTTGTTTTGTCTCCTAAAGGCTATTCTTCTTTTCTTTTCTCCCTCCCCCGCCTTGGGTTTTTGACATAGGGTGTGCACTCACCAGACAGAAAGAGCGAAAGTGAAAAATCACCTCTAGGGAGGATTGTCACGCAACAATCCCACCTCTTCTATCCCCCCTCAGAATTTTGGGGAAGCACTCACACATACCTGACATGTTTCTTTTCCTTTTTTTTTAAAGAGAGATTTTTGCTATAGGGTGCATGCACTCGCTGGAGAAACAGAGAGAGAGAAAATGAGAACTCAATCCCTAGAAGGGATGGCCACACTGCAATTCCTTCTCCTCCACTTTTCTCTTGGGATTTTGGGCACACATACACATGTGCCTGGCATGAGTTTTAAGCCACCGGGTCTGGGACTCAAACCACAGTCGACTACATGGGAGTCAGCAATGTAACCACTATACCATCTGCTGATCCCAGTGCCTGACAAAAATTTCAAGCTACTGGATCTAGGCCATGTGGAGTCTAGCACCCCAATCACTACACCACCTACTGGTTGCTAAAGGCTGTTCTTAACATATCAGAATAATTAAAAAAAAAATCCTTGTTATTCTTGGGGAAAAAATGTAAAACAATTTTGTTTCATTTCTGTTTATCGTATTTTGGCAAAGATTAACAAGACAATAGGAATACATCTAGGACTCGGGGCTCCTGAGTATTTAGAAATCACTTTGTGATGCCATTGCAGTAACAGGTGGAATTTGCAAAGGCTTTTGGAACTTGCCCTCTATGACCTATTCAGAATAGATTTCCTGTCGGGATCCTGCCCTGTTCCTGATCCAAATATTTTTTTATGTGTCATAAATTTTATTTTATTTTATTATTTTATTTTTTTGGAGAGGTTTTTGTTATAGGGCATGTGCGCTCGCCAGACAGACAGAGAGAGACATAGAGACAGAAAGCGAGAAATCACCCCCAGGGGGGGTGGTCACACCGCAATCCCTTCTCCTCCATTCTCCTCTCGGGATCTTGGGCATGCACGCACACGTGCCCGGCGTGAGTTTAAGCCACCGGGTCTGGGACTCGAACCGCACTCGACTATGTGGGAGTCCAGTGACAGCCATTACGCTAACTGCTGGTCCCGTGTCATAAATTTCAAATATCCCCCAACTCATTATTTAACACCTAGAGCCTCTGATTTTTTTGCACCCCTCTTGCTTGTTATAGGTGGGAAATTATATTCTTTTTACCACTTTTTCCCTTTCTAAATTGGTATTAAACCTCTATTAATGTCGGTTTTCTTTCAATATGTAGTCTCTTTAGACCATCTGACACTGTTTGTCAATAATCATTCAATTTCATCTTTCTAACCCACAGACTATCTGGCATAGACATAATTTCACTTAGGTCTTCTCTAAGTTTGCAAATAAAATTGTTTGGGTGTTTGGTAAGCTGAAATTGTTTCATCAGTTTCAATCTTCTGAGTATGCCCAACCTCTCTATTTGAAAACATGATTTTGCCTTAACATTAAATTTATTGAAAAAACTACTAATAATACTGAACCAAATGAAATGCCTTTCTGTTATCAATCTCTGTATATGTCTTTTTATGTAGCTATTATGTAATCTCACAGACAAAGAGCTTTGCATAATCTTGCCCATTTTAAAGAGCTACATATTCTTTTACATGTTTTAGAGGTGGAGAAATAAGACTTAGAGGATAATCCTCAGGTTCCTGGCTATAAAGCTGTTCCTTTATCAAGTGGTTCCTGTCCAGCTGACATGAAAAAAAGCTGTAATTTAAACTCTGCTCCTTATAACACAGTACATTATATCTCAGTAGATGATATATTCCAAACAGATTTACTAGAACCACTAGGACTACATTTTTAAAAATTGTGCCCAGGGAACCAGCAGTTAGTGTAATGGCTATGTCGCTGGACTCTCACGTAGTCGACCGCGGTTCACGTCCCGGACCCGGTGGCTTAAAACTCACACCAGGTGCACGTGCGTGCGTGCCCAAGATCCCGAGAGGAGAATGGAGGAGAAGGGATTGCAGCATGACCATCCCACCTGGGGGGTGATTTCTCACTTTCTGTCTCTATGTCTCTCTCTGTCGGTCTGGTGAGTGCACGCACTCTATAGCAAAAACCTCTCCAAAAAAAAAAAAAAATTGTGCCCAAAATGAAACTATCCAGAAATATAAAAAAAATCAACGTATATAATAGCTTTTCCTCAAATGCATGTACTGGAAAAAAAAAAAAAAAGGAAAACTTTGTTAGTTTAAGTATTAGGTCATTTTCAAGGTGTTATGACTTTCCCAATGATCCTATAGATATATAAGTATTTATATATCTATATAGTTGTATATATACACACACACCATATATATCACACACCTATATACATATACCTGGAATCAGAATAATATAAAATTATGCTTATCATACTTTTAATACACAGGAATACACTAAAGATAAAATAAAAATGTCTCTAGCATCGTCCTATTGTTTATTTAAATGGCTTATGGAAAGAAAATAGCATCATTCATTTCAAAGTTCCCCCTAATGAGAGGTACTATGTTTGAGGCAGAATGCCCTTTCTTTATTAGGGTGAATTTACCTTCAAGGCAAATATTTTTCAATCACTACTCATTTGCATATAATTTATCAAGAGAAAAGAAGTGCAAAATAATTTTGTTTAAAGATTTGCCTTTGCTTTAAGTGTCATTAGCAGTTCTGACTAATCCGATTTGTACAATCTCCTCAGCGCTTTTAGAAAATCTCTCTGAACTCATCGGGAGGATGCATTTATTCCTAAGTGTCCTCTATTGCATTACAGCACAGCAGAGAGGCTCGGTCTGCTACAGATGTTTATGTGAAATGCAGTTAACACTCTGCCAATTTAGTTTTTATAGGGACACAATCAATTTTTATTCATTTAAAAACCAGAATGCTTTCTTTCATTGTGTGCAGCCTCTCCCGATTATATAGCTAAACAAATTATTTCTCTGTTTGTACTAAATGGTACTATGGGGAAGGGCGATGGCATGGTGTGAGTGCACTGCATATACACCAGGCAAGGACCTAATGGTGCTCTCTTAGGCTGTGTTACTTGGAATGGGTCATTTAAAATATTTTTTTAAGTTTTACTTACTGTAAATACTCCTGACTGAAATGTAAATCTGGCTCTGAGTAGCCTGTGAGCTGTGTCATCTGATAATGCATTTTAATCATTTTTTAAAAAATAGGATTGAACCCTATAAAAACTATGTTTTTTCCT